AAGGTTAGAATTCAAATCAAAAGGCATGAAATGGGACAAGAAGGCATTTATAATGATATAAGCTGTAATTCTCCCAAGAAGATAAGTCTTTTCATGAATCCTCATGCATAGATAGCATACTATGAAACTATAAAGTAAAAGCTATTAGAAAAATGTGTGGATTTGTTAAAGTAAAAAATATATAATAGAAATCTTTAACTTGACTCTCAGAAGAGAACAGGTTAAGGAGACAAAAAAAATAAGTAAGTTTACTGAGAATTTAAATAACACTGTTACCAACTGTGCTTTATTAATTATGAATATCCAAATTACAGAGATTAACTCTAAAACACTGGCCAAACTGGAGAAATATATGTGTACTAGATGAAAATATTGAAAGAATATGACTTTGTATACCACCTTCATAATAACAATAAAAATTTAAAGAGCTCCAAAAAAAAAAAGAACATCAATACTTCTCTTAGCTTATTTGTCAATTTTACATAAGTACATTTGTCTTACATTGAAGAAACTTTCCCAAAATAATAAACACAGTGTTACCAACACATTCATCACAAAATATATAAATGAGTCCAGTTCTATAATTTAAGATATGCCTCCAAGTTACATAATAAAATAATAGTTATCTGTACACTGGCTCACATCTGTAATCCTAGCTACTCAGAATACTGAGCTCTGAGCCTACCTGGACAATAAAGTCCATGAGACTCTTAATCTCCAATTAACTACCAAAAAGCCAGAAGTGAAATTGTGGCTCAAGTGGTAGAGCACCAATCTAGAGTGAAAATGTTAAAGGACAGTGCCAGGCCCTGATTTCAAGTGCCAGAACTGGCACCAAAACTGTATATACTGTTCCATAGGCAGAGTAAGATGGTAAATTAAAGAAATATACCAATTTGAATCTGTGAATGAGAAGAGTCAAGTAACAAAGAAGAGAGGTCATAGCATAGGTCATGGTTTATCAACTGTGGTAGATTTCGCAGCCAAACTTCCCCACCCTGAGTGGAGAATAGGTCTGAGACAGAACTGAACATTGGAATAGAATGTTTGACTGTTGAGCCATACTCCTCCAAGTTAGTCACAAGAAAATGTACCACAACCAAAACACTAGCCAGTCTTAAACTGAGAAATAAAAAGACAAAGGAGGTTGAAACCTCTCCCTACAAACATGGCCCCAGTGGAGGAAAGGAAAAAACTACACAAAATCCATGAATAAAGCAACATAGTTCAAAAGCTAACAACTCAGCCTGGCACTCAACCTTGTAGTCCTAACTTCCTGGAAGGCAGAATTCAATGGACTGCAGTTTGAGGCCAGCCTGGGCGAAAACAAAAGTTCAAAAGACACCATCTCAATCAATGGTTAAGTGCAGTGACACATGTTTGTCATCCCAGTGATGGAGGGTAACCTAAGTAGGAGGATCAAAGGCCAGGCCATCCCAGGCACTAAGTCATACTCTCTCTTGAAAATAACGACTATGATGTGGCACACAAAGTGGTATAATGCATAATTGGCAGGCCCAAGGCTCTAACTTCAAACCCCAGTGCTGCCAAGAAAATCCAGCAACTCCCCAATAAGGGACCTAAATGATAGTGAAAAAAAGAGATTTCAAACAAGGTGGTTAAAAAAAGAAAAGAAATGAAAAAAGAAAGAAAGAAGGACAATGAAATGTACAAGTCATTATGTCGAAAAAAGAACTTTACAACTTTGGTGGTGGGGGAGGATCAGGTAGGAGGGGCGGCGGGGGTGGGGGGGTGTATGGGAAGGGATGGGAAGGGGAAACAAAGGAGGAGGCAACAATGCTTGATAGGAATGTACTCGTTATCTTGCCCATGTAATTGTAACCCCTCTGTATGGTATTTTCACAATATAAATATATATATATATATATATATATATGTGTGTGTGTGTGTGTGTAATCCAATGGGAAAAAAAAAGCAAGGAAGGAAGGATGTAAGGAAGGAAGGAAAGAAGGAAGGAAGGAAGGAAGGAAGGAAAGTATATTTGAAGAATAAATAAGAATGCCCAATATGAAGAAATGCTCAACTTCTCTGGCCATTAAAGAAATACAAATCAAAATAACACTCACCCCAGTTAGAATGGCTATAATCAAGAAATCTAATAATAACAGATGTTGGAGTGGATGTGGCCAAAAGGGAACTCTACTGTATTCTTGGTGAGAGTGTAAACTTGTTCAACTACTTTGGAAAGCAGTATGGAAGTTCCTCAAAAGACTCCACATAGAGCTCCCCTATGACCCAGCAATCCCACTTATGGGAATTTACCCAAATGATCACAAACAAGATCATACTAAAGCTACCAGCACGACTATGCTTATTGCAGCATTATTTACCATACCTAAGATATGGAACCAACCAAGATGCCCCTCAGTAGATGAGTGGATCAAGAAAATGTGATATTTATTTATTTATTTATTTATATAATGGAATTATACATATATTATTCCATTATATAAATATATATAATGGAATTCTATCAGAAAGAATGGCACCACCCCATTTGTTAGGAAATGGAAAGACGGGAAAATTATATTAAGTAAGTCAGTGCCAAAGAAATATAAGTCCCATGATTTCCCTCATTTGCAATAATTACTGTATATGTCTAGGATAATTTCATCAGATGATCAGGAAAGCTCAAAAACTATGTACATATAACCATATAAGATGATGTTAAGTAAAATGAATCCCAAACCTGGACAGAAGAGGACTTTCTTTGTTGTTATTGTTTTTAATGTACTATGTGTACTATTATTTTTAATGTACTATGTGTATTATTTTTGTTTCCTTTGTATGTTCTTCCTCTTATGGTATAGCCCTTGTTGTCACTGTACTTGATTTTGGTACCCTGCATCTTGTATATACATTTGTCTAATTTGGAGAGGGGAAGGGGAATAACAAAATGCTGAAACAAGGACACAGGATGACCCATTGCAACAAGGATACCCACAAGACTGTATATTGGAAATGAACTTTACAACTTGGGAAGGGGGGAGTGAGAGAGGTCGGGGAAGGAAGGGATAGTGCGAGAACAACAAAGGAGTGGGTAACAATGCTCAACAAGAAATGTGCTCATTACCTCACTCATGTAACTATAATCCCTCTGTACAGCATCTTTACAATAAAATAAAATTTAAAAACAAAGAAAAGTATCCATGAAATTAAAGAAGAAATTAAAGAGAAAACCTCTAGCATCACAAGAAGGCTTAGTGAACACTAAACAGGCAAGGTCAGAAAAGAAATATCTGTAGAAACATTATAGTTAAAAACTAAATATACAGAAATAAAGAATATTGGAAGGTGCAAAGGAGATGCAATTAGTTATGCACAAAAACAAGTCAGTAGAAAACAGATTTCTCAATACAAACACTAAATTCAAAGAGGACAAGGAAGTACATAATCTGAGCCCTGAAAAATATTTATCTATTTAGATGAATGTTTCAAGAGAAGATAACCTTTATATTTCATGAAGAAAAAAATAACTTCCATGGTAAAAATGAAAGAAATATATATTAACATACGACTAGAAAAGCCTTTTTATTCAAGTTTAGACTTTCTGAAATGCATCATGCCAAAAAATATATAAAAAGCAAGAATTTTCCTCATGCATTTTCTATAATAAAAGTTCATCAATAGATGTTTAGGTTGAGAAATTGCTTTCCTGGAATAGAAGATATATGTTTTGAGTAGAACTTATAGAACTTTATTTGTGTTGCCTTAACATGCTAGAATGTGATAAATAGTGAAAAAAAGGAAGAAGTCTGCCTGAAACAAAGTCCTCTTACATTAAAGTGAATTTTGAATCTTCTTTATGATGGAAAAGCTAAACATGAGATGTTAGAACTGCAATGATTAGTCGTGTTCATGTGTTCAATAATGACAAGCTAAATGGGTCTTGTTGATCTCAATTTGAAACACAAAATAATCCAAAATAAAAACATATCTTATTAAGAGTCTGAATATTTAGGGGAATCAAGTAAATGACACCTTCTTCAGAGCACTTCATAGGTATCATTTCCTTTGTCAACTTGAATAATCACATATGTGGTCAATCACCTCTAATAGCGGTGAAGACTGGACAAAGACACTGTGGATATTCTTCACAGCAGTAGACTAGGAATCTAAAATCAGCAATAAGCTACATCTGAAGAACTGAGCACTCTGTGTTGCCAGAATACAGAAAATTTTGATTTAAAATATTTAAATATTTTATTATTTAAATATTTTAATATTTTAAATAGTTTACCAGGTGCCAGTGCCTGTAATTCTAGCTACTCAGGAGGCTGAGATCTGAGGATTACAGTTCAAAGCCAGCGTGGGCAGGAAAGTCTGTGAGACTTTTATCTTCAATAAACACCAGAAAACTGGAAGTGGCTCTGTGGCTCAAGTAGTAGAGTGCTAGCCTTTAGCTGAAGAGCTGAGGAACAGTGCCCAGGCCCAGAGTTCAAGCCCCACGACTGACCAAAATAATCATAATCATAATCATAACTGAAAAATCTTACTATTTAAGGAAATTATTCCTATAAATTGCCTTCAATTACATTTTCTGTTTTGGTAGTACTGGGGCTTGAACACAGAGCCTCTCACCTCTCAATTGGCTTTTTCACTCAAGATTGGAGCTCAACCACTTAACCCACAACCCTGCTCCCAGGTCGTTTTACTGGTCAATTGGAGATAAGAGTCTCATGGTGTTTCCTTCCCTGGATGGCATTGAACCATGATTCGCATATCATAGTAGCTAGCATCCTGAGTAGCTAGGATTACAGATGTGAGCCACCAGCATCTGGCCTCATTTGCTGATTATTTTGGGGATGGAGTCTAGTGAACTTTTTTGCTTAGGCTGGCCTAAACTGCAATTCTCCACATTTCATTTTACTGAGTAGCTAGGATTACAGGTATGAGCCACTATTACCAAGTGCATTCAGTTACTTTTTATTAACTGATTACAAAAAACTTGGAAGGTTCAGGAAAAAAATGATGATATAAAAAATATATCACTCTTTACAAATTTATGTGTCCCTCAGTTGTAGGGGCCATGCTACTAATCTTTATCATTCCAATTTTAGTTTGTATGCTGTCAAGCAAACACCATAAAACTTGATTTCAAATCTCTGATCAGCCAAAAATACCAACTTCAATAATAAAAGCTTCTCAAAAGACCTGTAGTAACTGACTAATCAATGCTGCAGATTCCAGAGACCTCCTAGCTAGCACTTAACAAACAACTCCTACTCCTCTCTACTAAGGGTCCCTATCAGAGGCAAGTCATTTGAAATCTTTCATCCTTAGACCAAATGATTATTGAAGAGTTTTCAGCTGCATCCTGCTATCCTAACATAATCAGAGAAATGGTATCCTAAATGACATGTGTTAGCACTCTCATTCCTCGTATGATTTACTCTCTTTTTGTTTTTGTAGTGCATTGGATGGGACTGAGAGTCTGATGCAAGCTCAGCAAGTGTTCAACCACTAAGCTATATCCTCAGCCCTGATTTGGTATCATTACAACTCAGTAAAATGTGTGTGCCATAGCTATTCTGAAGTTCAATCCCTAGGATATGAAACATCGGAAATGTGATCATCAATAAATTGCAATGACATGAAAACTAAGTGTCACTAATCTAGAGATAGAAAGAGATACATGGATGAAAGAAACAAGAGCCTAGAAACAAAATTATGGATATGTGGGAATAGTATATGTGAGAAAATAATGGACCACTCATTAAATTACACTAAATTACATTAGCACAATTATATGAGGGATCTATTTGCAAAACCTTGCTGAATATCCTGACTTGTGTAAAAGAAATGCAAGGGTCATACCAATAGGAATTGTGTGCACATTAATCAGGTATTAGCTTACAAGGTATCATTTGAATACATAAATTAGTAATAGCTTCATATTTGTCATTGTCATCAAACATAAAAGTGTTCTAATTTGGGGTAGCATTGAAGTTTGCTTTTGTATGTAAGATGAAGTAGTAAATCCAATTAACGAGCTCATGAATTAATCTTGGGGAAGAGAAAAATTGGGCAAGAGAAAAAAATTTCACTTGGAAACACACAGGCACCTGAGAAAGCAGAAAAAAAATGAAGCTCCAGTCTCAGGACCTGGCAGATAGATCTAGCATTCTTCATCCATCCTGCCCTGTGACATCCTGAGATTCGATGTTTCTCAAACTTTCCAAATGGGAAGAGGAGTTCAGAAAGATCCTGTCTTTCAGCTAGTGGTGCCCAGCATAGGAGAGGCATGCTCATCTAGTAGAATTCAGGAAGGCAAACAGAGATGAAGACAGAGGCAGAGACAATGTGACAGATTGGAAGGGGCAGGAACAAGATGTAGTAGTGACCTTTTTCCAGCTTATAGCTCCCACCATTTTGCAATAGTCATTCATCAATTAAATCATCAAGAGACCAAAATAGAGTCCTCGTGATCCAGTTGCCTCTCAGAAGCTCTACCTTTTAATACTACTGCATCAGGGACTAAGCTTTCTACATACAAGCTTTTGGGGATATTTCCTACCCAAACCATAACAACTCATCCATTCAATTCAGTTATTATTGAAGGCTTTCAGTATACCATATAAGGAGGAAATAAGACACCATATATTCCAAGAAAAATGCCTACCTCTCTCCCGAGTAAATCCAAGCATTTCTTAATTAATACTATTCTAGTGATTTTACAAGTTAACCTGAATTGATTCTACTACTCTTCAATATCCAAGGCTCCAAACTTTCCAGTCCAGTCAAATAAGTCTACCTTTATCATGAATTTCTGCATCATACCTTTCATGTCCTGCATACATGCTGGCTCAGAACACCTTCTTTGCTTCAAATCCTACAGCAAATCCTTCACAAGAGGGGTCAGTTTGGGTCCTTTCTCCTCACTTAATCTGCCCAACAACTGAATCTGAAGATGATTTAATTTCCTCCCATTATCAAATTTACAATTGCATTTTCTGTGGGAATCTCCTGACAGGTAATTTAATTCAAACATTATTGACAATCACAATTCTCCTTAGCAGCTAGCCTTACAACAGACATCCTCTCACAAGACATTAAGACAAATATAAATGGGAATTCAGCCTTCCATTAAAATCAGCCTTTCCTACCCTGTGTAATGCTTGCAAAACCCTGTGTAAAAGTTTGCTTTTCATCTCCCCAGACTTTCCTTTGGGGAAAGGTATTCAGATGAATGTAACGCTTTCCTCCTCCCCCATGGGGCTTGAACTCTGGGCCTGGGCGCTGTCCCTCAGCTCTTCAGCTCAAGGCAAGTGCTCTACCACTTGAGACACAGTGTCACTTCTGGTTTTTTGGTGGTTTATTGGAGATAAGAGTCTCACAGACTTTCCTGCCCGGGCTGGCTTTGAACCATGATCCTCAGATCTCAGCCTCCTGAGTAGCTAGTAGTACAGGCCTGAATCACCGGCACTTGGCTGAATGTAACATTAAAAAAAAAAACTTGCCTTTACAATTTCAAAAAACAATGTCACATTAGGTGCTGATGGCTCATACCTGTAATGCTAGCTCAGGAAGGTGAGATGGATCCATGAAGACCTATAGTTCAAGGCCATCTCAGGCGGGAAAATCCATCAGATTCTTTTCTGTAGAAATGAAATGTGGCTCAAGTGGTAAAGTACCAGCTGAAGGATAATGCCCAGGGTTGAAGTTCAAGTCCCAGTACCAGCGCACACACACACACACACACACACACACACACACACACACACACACACACAAAATGTCACCACTCAGATGTATATTATGCATCTCATTTCCACAATAACAAATGTATGTACAATGTACATGTACATGCATATATGTATTGGAGACATATACATACATATATGTACCAGACACATGTATGCATGTATATAGTGTAATACAATATAAATGTATGTAAAATAATAATAATACATATTATGCATAATGTACATTATACATCCTATGTTCCCAATTCCCATTTTCTCAGCAGTATTTGAGGCCATGTGACATTCATCATTTTTTAAATATAATTTTATTTTTGTCGTACAAAGGGACTACCATTTCATAAGTCAGGTAATGAGTATATCACTTCTTTTGATAATGTCACTCCTTCCTTTGCTTTCCCATCCCTGCCCACAAGTTACATAGTCCACTTTTCATATAATGTATATTGAATAGCATAATTGCATTTGTTTTCCCTTCTTCCCTCCCTCCCTGCACCCCCAAACACCCTAAAAAAGAAAAAAGCAAAAACAAATACCAAAAAAAGTTTCCATTTCCTGGAATTCTTTTTGATAAAGAGCATTTTAAATATTCAAAAGTGTTGCTCCTTTGGTTTCTTCTACTAAAGGTATCCTCACTGTGAATGCAAGAGACCTGTATAATTTATCTTGTCCCAGTGTATTTTAGATCTAACTTCCACATATGAGAGATAAAATGCACACTTTGTGTCTCTGAGGTTGGCTTACCTCACTTAACATGATTTTTTCTGGCTCCATTCACTTCCCTGTAAATGACACAATCTTATTCTTTCTAATGGATAAGTAAAACTCTATTGTGTATATGTACCACATTTTATTGATCCACACATTCATTGTAGGACATCTGGGCTGTTTCCATAACTTAGCTATTGTGAATAGTGCAGCAATGAACATGGATGTGCAGGTGTCTTTACAGTAGCCTGGCTTGTAATGATCTGGGTAGGTGCCCAAGAGTGGTATGGCTGGGTCACAGGGAAGCTCTATGTTTAGTTTTTTGAGGAATCTTCAGACTGCTGTCCAGAGTGGTTGTACTAGTTTACATTCCCACCAAGAGTGCAATAAGGTCCCCTTTTTCTCGCATATTTCTTTATCATTTTAAGTGATATTCTCTTAAGAGCAATAAGACTTTTTAGATTGTGGGCTTGAAGGAGGATATAAAGGATAGAAGTTTGCAGAAGGATGTGGAAGGGGAGGGATCTATCTTAGGAGCCGTCCCTTCCAGCTGCCTCTTCCACGGTGCAATAGAAATGTATAGACAGGGGCTGGGACGGTGGCTCAGTGGTAGAGCGCTTACCTTGCATGCATGAGGCCCTGGGTTCGATTCCTCAGCACCACACAAGCACAAAGAAAAAAGCCGGAAGTGGCGCTGTGGCTCAAGCGCTAGAGCGCTAGCCTTGAGCTGAAGAGCTGAGGGACAGCGCCCAGGCCCAGAGTTCAGGCCCCATGACGAGACCCCCCCTCCCCCCCAAAAAAGAAATGTATAGACATCTATGTCATAAACAGGTATTTATGCAGCATTTGTTTTCTATGTCTCAAGATGCAGAAATGTTGCCAGACTGGCAGCTGTGGAAAAAGTTTCAACATCTTCCTATGGGAAAACAACAAGTTTGTGCTCAGCAGAACATACAGACCACAGAAGACCTAAAGCAAAGCACAGTTACCTTCATGAGACTCAGTGTTCTGTATTCTGCCATTGTGTGGCAAGGATGACAACTAATATGTTTAACTCTTATTAGTTAACAAGTATTGCTCTGAGTTCTTTGTATGTATGTGTCTATTAAGTCTTCACAACAAACTTAGAGGTATGTGCTGATATCAATCCCATTTTTACAGATAAGACACATGAAAGGAAACTTTTGGTGAGTCAGTAGACAATCTGCCATTTCATGCTGCCTCTTTGGGCACTATAGGCAGCATTTCAACATCAGATTTTTAAAGGGGCTTCGCTTGAGGGTTTGTTTTTTAAGTTCTCTACATATTCTGGATATTAGGCCATATTTGATGTGTGGCTGGCAAAAATCTTCTCCCATTCTATAGGTTGTCTTTTTAGTTTGTTGGCTATGTCCTTTGCTGTGCAGAAACTTTTTAGTTTGATGTAGTCACATTTATCAAGTCTTTCTTGGATTTGCTGTGTTTCTGGATCCTTATCTGTTCCCAGAAACACTAATGTTTCCATATGCTTTCCTGTAATATTTTCATGGTTTTGCATGCACTTCAGGAGTCTGTGAAGTGTTTGAGGATAACTTCAAGAATAAACAGAATCAGCAAAATATAGGATGCCCATGATTCACAGGCAGGGAGCAGGGAAGTAGTACTTATTTTTGCAGGACTGAGATAAATGGCT